ACCTTTGCCTCAGTGTCCCCCTGCTGGACTCTGCTGACCTCCTTTCCCTACCCCCACTCCCCTAGTCCTTTTCCTCTCTCCAGCTGCAGCTCCTCTGGCAGCGTCCTTCCGAGGTGAGCCCTCTCTTTAGAGACCTTCTCTTTGTGACCCTGGTTCCTGTCTGCTCCCTCTCTCCCTCACTGCCCCTGAGGTCTCTTCTTCCTCTATCCCCTCCTCCTCCCCCTCAGCAGACACCCCCTTTTCCAGCCTTCACTCCAGAATAACAGGTTCCCAGAATGTCTCGGGGCCAGGCCCCTGTACTGAAAACATCTCCAGTTGGCCCACACCCACCTTTCTGTGTCCCTTGTTCCAAGACAGAGCAACCAAGGGTCCTAAGGAATGACCTACCCCGGGCAGTGTGCTGACCCAACAGGGCTAGCTGGGAGGGGGCGGTGGAGAGAGCAGGGATGGGAAGCGTCTGATTTTTCTGGAGAGATGAAGTTGGAAAGGGTGATAATATTTTGGGTGAGAGAGTCAGGATTCAAAAGCGCTTTTGAAAAGCAAGAATAATGAGCCAAAACCCAACAAGATGACATTTAAAGGGAATAAATATAAAATTCTACATTTAGGCTTAAAAAAAAAAATCACTTATGTAAGCACAGCATGGGAGAGCTGTGGCGAAAAAAGAACTGGGGGGGAGGGGGGTTTAGTTGGCCATGGGCTTGATGTCACAGCAATGTGATGCAGCTTCCAAAAACATTTATGTAATGCATTAAAAAAGCATTGTGGCCAGAGGACGGGGAGAGAGATGATGATGACGACAAGCCCTCTCTTAATGCATGGATCAGGCCATGGCTGAGAATTTATCACACTCAAAGAGTTACTTAAAGGGTCCTCCATGGCCATTCTAGTTTGCAATCAAGAAAGTTAAATTTTTGGAAACCAGGCTAAATAAGGCATGGAGGAGGGAGCCAGGGGTGTTCAATCTGAAGGAGACATGAGGGCAGCAAACACTCCTATTTTCAGATACTCAGAGGGCTGTCAGTTGGGGTAGGGAGTGAAACCAACGGGTGGAAATTTCAAGAGGCAGATTCTGTTTGAAGAAGAACCATCCAACTATTAGGGCCCTCACAGAAAGCAGTGGGCTTCTTACGAGGTGGTAGGGTCCTCATCCTAGAGGGTAAGATGCCCACCATTGGCAGTGCTCCAGCGGGAAGCCCCGTGTAGAGGCGGATTTGAACCAGATGACCCCTCAGCTTAGTTTCAAGGTTAAGCTTCTGCAGTTGGCATCAGCAGTGGGGAGGAGGGGAAATCGTAGGCTGAAGACTGAGGGGAGTCCAGGCAAAGGAAAAGAAGCGATGGGGCTAGGCAAGAGCAGGAGTTGAGAAAGGAAAGAGAATGGGCTGGAGCACAGGGAAGCCTGGCAGGGGATGGAGGGAAGGGTACCGAAAGGGGACTTGGCAGTGACTCCTGCCCTGCCCCTCCCTTCTCCCTAGGAATGACGTGTCAAGCTCGGAGCTCCTACCTGGTGGACGAGGTGCTGTGGGGCCACCGCTTCACATCGGTGCTGACCCTGGAGGACGGCTACTACGAGGTGGACTATGCCAGCTTCCATGAGACCTTTGAGGTGCCCACGCCCTCCTGCAGTGCCCGAGAGCTGGCAGAGGCTGCAGCCCGCCTGGATGCCCATCTTTACTGGTCTATCCCCAGCCGGCTGGATGAGAAGGTGGAGGAGGAAGGCTCGGGGGAGGGGGCAGGGGAGGCAGCTGAGGCTGACAAAGAGCAGAACGGCTGCCTGCCACCTCCAGAGAGTGAGTCCAAGGTGTGACCCGTTTGCTCCAGACCCCTGTGGCAGACCAGGAGCCAGACACAGGTAGATGGGAGCTGACTAGCAGAGGTGGAGGGGGCAGGCAAGATCCCTGGGAGGGTGCAGATGTTGCAGAGACCCCCTCTCAAAAGCTAGAGGGTGGGATCCAATACAGAAGGCAGAGATCCTCATATGAGAATGGAGGGCAGCGAGGGTAGAAGTGCCAATCTGTGTTTGACCTCCATGTCTGTTCACAGGTGGATAGGTGGACAGCGAGATGGACTTATGGGGGAATAGAAGGTGGTGGCAGATAGAGGCAGCTGCTGCATGGGACCAACACAGACCAACAGCTGCTGTACTCATAGAATACTCCCCACAAAGTATCTTTGTGCAAGTTCTAGGAAGATATCCTTTTCCTTCCAACACAGCCCTAAATCAGGGATGCACAGCTTTGGGAACAGAGTGTGGGGTGGAGTGCAGCCTCCACTCACTTCTTCAGCCTGCCTCCCTGTGTATGTCACACCTGTCCAACTGGACCCTGTAATCCAAGAAGGAGCAGAGGAGAGAAAGCTCCATAGGGGTGGGCACAGATAAGGAGTGCCCTCCCAACTCTACCCCTCCCACTGTGGCAGCTTGAGCACAAGGGTTAAGGACTGTATGGTAGGAAGACAGCAGCGAAGGTGTTAGTGATCTTGGTCCTGAGGTAAGGAAGCTGGGCAGGAAGAAAAGAGCTGGCACCCTGGAGCAGAGCCTGGGAAAAGAGACCCCGGGGATGGCTGTTTTCTGACAGTGGAATGAAATCTTGCAGGTACCACTGCAGGGGCAAGTAGGGAGAAAGAAGTTCCAAGAAGCAAAAAAAAAAAGGGCAATGAGAAAGATGTAGAAAGTGAGTTTGCTAAGGGCAGGACACCAGCGGTCCTTGGGAAGGCAGTTTGTCCTGGGGGCACCACTGAGCAAAGTCCCTCAAATCATTGATCAGTATGGTGGAGAGCGTACCTTCTAAGACCTGGCCTTTATGCCAGGGTATTCATGGCCTATACCTAGGACAACTGAACAAGGTCGAGTTCCAGCTGAGACCTGTTCAATCTCTCGGAGCAGAGGGTGGAAGGGTTGTGTACACCCGCAAGCAGAGGATTGAGTAACCCAGAGGCAATGACGTAAACTCACAGTTTGAGATGGTCCGGATGGATCAGAGTCATCTAGAGAGCATGTTTGAACACAGGTTGCTGGGCCCCACTCCCAGGGTTTCTGACTCAACAGTTCTGGAGGGAGACCATCAAGAATTCTCTGCCAACCAGCTTCCAGGTCATGCTGACGCTGCTGGACCTGGGGTGGGGGAGGGGCACCCTCAGAACTGCTGCTCTAACAAGGTCTCGGAGGCCCTATCAGAAGTTCCTTGGGGCAGTAGTCAGAAAAAGGTAGAGGGAGGTGTGTGTGTGTGAGGAGGAAGGGGACCTGGAACGCAGACCTAATGGCTTCACTTCCTGCCCAGTGGGGACAGGATAGGAACAAGAGGTGGCTTTTGGCAAGATGAATGGGCAAGACAGGCAGGCCGTTGTAGGGGCTTCAGAGGATCCATGGAGAGCTGTAGCAGCAAAGACCCCAGAGGCAGAGGAATAAGTCTCCTGTCAGACTGCAGAGGCAGAACTGACCCATGAAGGTGAGAAGGGAGTGTGGACACCTGGCTGTCCTGCCCAGAGAGGACATGCAGGCCCATGGAGGTGTCTGCTCCTACCCCACCTCCAGCCCTTCCTGGTCTCATCCTGGCCACGCCAGGATGAGAAGGGGATAGCAGTGGCGAGCGAAGGAAGGGCAGAGCATCCAGGGATCCGAGGTTAGTTCCTGCAGCAGAGCATAGCCCAACGAGCAGGACTTGTGATGGGCCAGGAAGGCCAGGGTTCCCTGGAAGGGAGAAAGTTGGGCATTCACAGAGAGATTCAGAGGATGCAAGCTGCAGTCTTCTCCATCTCAGCTAGGCATGGGACATCTTTGTCTCAGGTCACCATGCTGCCCAGGTCCCACTCAGACAGGGTCTCTGAATGTTGGCATTGGCTGTCCCCTCCAGAACAGGTGGATGTTGCACAGGACATGGGGAGTGCTTTCGGTTGAATTCAGAGCAGCGGGTGCAGTGTGGACAGGTGTGGGGGCTGCCCAATCCCCCTCCACACAGGCGCTTTGTAGTTGACCCACTGGAACTGACCCGGCAGAACTGGGGCTAGGTCAGGCCTCCTCCTGTCCCCTGGATGTCACTGAGAGCCTGCCACACACTTCCTTGCTCCCGTCACCACTCAGGGCACCACCATGCAGTGCAGAGTCAGGAAGCCTGGGTTCTGGTCTTCACTCTGTCACGGAGAAGCTCTAGGACTGGGGCAAAGTCACAACATTTCTCCGGACCTGTTTTCCCATCTGTAAAAATGACACTTAGCAAACCAGTGATGCTCAATAAATGTCTGAATAACTGATCTGAAACGTACACCGGGTGCCTCCTAAGGTGCAGTGTAGCCGAGCACAGCTGAGCAGGGGTGGGGGAGCCCTTGGGGGGAGGCATGAGCAGGTGCAGCAAGTCTCTGGGCATACGGGTCCTCCTGACCACCACCCAGGTGGCTGTGTTCTGGGGCTTCTATTGTCCTGCTGTCAGACAGGATGATTAAGGTCAGGAAGAAACAGCCACCCCAGGGCCTACTGGGAGGAGGCAGGCCCGAGACTAGCCAGACCAGGACGATGAGCCTGGCAGAGGGCTGAGGATCAGTGAAGCTGGGGGAGTTCAGGACAGTACCCGCCGGAAGCCCTTATCTTCTACTGAGGACCGCTGGGGAGAGAGGGACCAAGCTCAGCCAGAACTCCCCTCCCTTTCCATGCTTTCTCCCAAGCAGAAGCCCAGTGTGGCGCTGGCTCAGCACTGACAATTCCGGCAGCAGATGGGACCCAGGTGTCCCCTCCAGGGGTGGGCGGCATGGCCCACAGAGGCCAGATGGTGTCTGGTGGGGGGAGGAGCCCGGGCTGTCCAGAATAGGCCTCCAGGCCCCAGTACACCCCCAGCCTGGGACAGCCTCATGGCAAGGGAAGACACAGCCAGGCCTGGGCTTTATAAAACATGTTTATTCACATTTTAGAAAAACTAATTCTAGGACAGGGACTGGCCTCCTTGGGGAATGGGTGTGAGATCAAGAACAGGTGGCCAGAAGGGGGAAGAGGGAGGTATTTTGAGAGGCGAGGAATGGGCATCCCACTCTGGGTTGGAGGTTGGGGGTGGGGGAACAGGTCAAATAAATTAACAGGCCAGCGGGTGGGCAGATGGAGAGGGTGTCCAATCAACCACAGGAGGGCTTGGAGCCGGGCTGGAAGACAGGCAACACCTGCAAGAACTGGAGAGAGTGTGCAGGGGGCTGAAGAGAGCCCTGGGCGGGACTCCCTGAACCTCCCATCCTAACAGGAACCTGCAGAACCCAACTGCCTGCTCCTCCACCAGGTGGGGCAGGGAGAGGGCAGTTCAGCTTGGGCTTAGGGGCAGGAGACCTAGGCAGATAGGACCGGGGCTGGGGCTGGGAGTCTCTTCCCTCACCTGGGGAGTGGAGGATCACCGTTTCCGCAGTCGCTTCATGAAGCAGCAGGTGATGGTGCCAAGGATGATGGCGCCGGTGACTAGGGCTACCCCTGTGCCCACCAGCAGGGGCACAAATAGGGTGTCTAGGGCTGGATGGAAAAGTATGGTTCTGCTCAGCGGGGTGCCCTTGTGTGCCCCCCGCTGTCACACCGGTCACCCAGCTCCACTGTGCACACACCCCCTCCCCACCCACTGTACCCTCTTGGCACCCAGTCAGCACAGCCATGGGTACAGATAGGCACAAAGGGCAGAAAACTGAGTATTTAAGACTTTGAGCAAGCAATGTGGAGGAGACAGAGGCTGGGAACAGGATCAGAAACTGGAAGGGAAGGGGCAGGGGTTGGGGGGGTGGGGAACCACTCACCATGTGTGTAGGGGTAGACTGTGACAGGCCCGGAGCGGGCACTGCCAGCCTGGTACCAGCTGTAGTCGGCATGCTGCACCCAGGCACTGGGAGCGCAGTGGTACACGCCTTCATCCTCAGGCCCCAAGCTGTGCAGTCTCAGCCGGTGGCTTCGGGGTCCCACCAGCTCCACACTGACAGGGCCTCCGCCGGGTCGGACCCCCAGCTCTACCACTCCATCCTGACCCACACCGCCCACCAGCTGGGCAGGGGAAAAGCTCAGGTCCCCCTCTTCTGCTCGCTCCACCCACCAGCTGGCAGCCAGCCGCAGTCCTGGGGGGCCGCCCCGCACAGAGATGTTGCACAACAGGGAGGCGGTCTCCCCCCGGTACACGGTGCCCCCTGCCAGCCACGCCACAGCCTCCAGCACCACACCTGCAGAGCAAAGGACATGAATGAGATCAGAGGGTGGGGGGCAAGGACCTGAGGCCTGGTTCAGGGCAGCACAGGGTGTCCCTATAACTGCAGCAGGAGAGGAGCAAGACAGTGAGGCGTGGCAGCAACTGAAGCAGAGGGAAAGGGCATGGAAATTGAAGGCAAAGCCATGCTCACCTTCTTCCCGCACGTGCACAGGGAGAGGCCGGGAACGGGCGCTGGCTGCCTCACGAAGCCGAGCTCCAGAGCCTCGAACGTAGGCTTTGGCGAGGCAGCGGTAGGTGCCAGCATCCGCAGGCCTCGCAGCCTCCAACCGGAGCCGGTAGGTCCTGGATGCCACCTTCTCCATGGCAATGTGCCGGCCCTCATAGCCAGGGCCCAAGCTGCCCACACCCTCAGTGTCCAGCTGGGCTACCAGGCGGTCAGGTCCAGGTGCCCCTGCTGGGGCCATCTCCCAGCCCACAGAGTACACAGCATGACGGCCTGGTGGGGGCAGTGCCCCTGACACATTGCACAGCAGCTCCAAGGGCTCTCCTGGGCCAATGCGACGTTCCCCAGGCCCCACGGTCACTGCCAGTTGGCTAGCTGAAACAAGGGAGGGGAGAAGGCTGTCACAGCAGCATCTGGTTCCCCAGCTGCAGTTTCTTGCCCAGCAGCAGCCATTAGGAGGCCCCTCACTGGGTGTGACCATCCCCAGGACCAAGGGATGTGAAACTCATCCCTAGCCATGGCCCTGCCAGCCCTCCCCTAACATCTGGGCGAAGGAACCCTGTCACGGGTAGCGAGGAAAACGAAACTGATAGGATTGGCTCAAGTCAGAGGTGACCTCAAGTTCACTGGTGGGCCCACTCAGCTTCAGGGTCAGGGTCAGGGGACATATGGGCACTCACACAGTGTCTGCACGTCCACATGAGCCAGGACGGCCCTCTTCTCGGCAATCTGGGCCCAGCTGCCATCAGGATCCTGAATCCATTCAGCAGCAGTGCAGTGGTAGGTGCCTGCGTCGTCGGCTTGCACACCCCCCACCACCATGCGGTACCTATCCGTCCCCTCCTTGCCCAACCGCAGCTCCCCTGCAGCCAGGCGCTCTGCATAGGGAGCTCCGGCCTCCACAGCCAGGTCAGAGCGCAGTCCCACTACTTCCTGCAGCGTGGCTCGCCCCACTGGCGCCTCGGGTATGGCTCGTCCGAAGGACACGGCCAGGTGTGTGTGCTTCTGTGTGTTGGTCCGTGCCTGGCAGCCCAGCGCCAGCTCCTGGCCCTCATGCACTGTCAGGCGTGGGGGTGAGGTTGGGGCCTGGCGGCCTCGGGGCCCCGGGGGCGCAGCAGACACCTGTAGCATATCTGGAAGAACTGGGGAACGACAAGAACTGGCGTGAGGGAGGGCTGGGAGTTGGCGGCTCTTGTCCTGTTTCCCCTGGGCAATGCATTTCCCTAGGGAGACCCTGAGTGAGCTCCTGGGGGGGGGGGGGGCAAAGACTGCATGTTATGACTATTCCCTAACTCCGTCAGTGCCAACCACGGGGCTCGGCACACCACAGGAGCTCAATAAATAATGGTTGCTCTTTGTAGCACCAACCCACTGCTTACTCACCCTTACGTTCCAGGCTGACCCTTCATGGAAACACTCAGAAAACACAAAGATGTGTACAAGAGCAAGCCTGTCAGCTGGTCCCACTTCTACCCTACTTCTGGACTCTGCAGGAATAAAGCCTATTTGACCCACCCGATTTGGGAGTGGACAGAGGCCAGGACAGCTTACAGACCATTCCCCACTTCCCCTCCTCCCAGGAGATACTTGGATAAGAAAAGCAACGAACTGTGATCACAAGATCTGGGTTCTAGTCCCACACTAGCCACTGACTCCCTGAGTGCCTTTATGGAAGTCACTCGGGCTCTTTGGGCAACACCCAAGGGGTGGTTAGACAGTTCCCAGCTGGTTCTGACTTTCTGGCCCTGCCCCATCCAAGGACCCAGTACCTCGCAGCTCCACCTTGCCGCTGTAGCTGCCCAAATAGCGGGTATCAGTGGAGGGCGTGTAGCACTCATAGACCCCTGCATCCTGGGCCTGCAGGCGGGCAATCTTGAGCACCACAGCATCACCCTGTAGCCGCTGCACCTGCACTTCACCAGCAGTCACACGGGGCCCGAAGATGGCATAGGAGAACCGGGCATCCCTGGTACTGACAATGCCCAGGGCAGCCTCTGGAGCCTCGGGTCTGTACAGGAACCACTCGAAGTCCTGCTGGGCGGGGCCCTCGTAGCCACTCACGTTGCAGGCGATGGAGACGGCTGTGCCAGCCACACGGTACAGGGGCCCCTCGGGGACCAGCACCTCCCGGGCATTACACCTGACTCCTGTGGGAAAGCAGAAGGAGTTGGCAGTGCCAGGGCTCCCCATTCCATGTCCCCAGTCACCACCAGCACCATCCTTGATCCCTGCCTGTGAAAGGAAAAGAAACCTTGGAAGGACTGGAACACTGAGAATAGGGAAGGGATTGCATACCTGGATCTGCGGAAGTGGCCTAGGCCCAGGTCTGCCTCAGTCCAGCCAAGCAGAGGCAGAGCCCCTGAGGGCTGTAGAGGGCTCCTGCCGCCTGACTCCACCTATCCTGCCTTATCAGCACCTGATCACCTTTCCCATGCCTCAGTCAGATGCCTTCCTCCAGGAGCCTGCAGCCTTCTCACTTCAGGCATCCAGAACCTAAATGGGCCCCCTCCTCTGCTCAAGAGGAGCTGATCAACTGGTTGGCTCAGCCATGTCACCTGGGCCAGACAATGGAGCCAGTGGCCCAAGCCGGACAGGGCACGGCCCCAGTCAGTTCTCATCACACAATGCCCTCCCCCGCTCCAGCTGCGCCATGAGCTCACTGCTCCTCCTGGGACTTCTGGGGTAAGAGCCAGGCTTTGCCCAGGCCAACAGGGGCAGAGGAGCCCCTCCCCCAGTGCCAACCTTTAGGCCTGGCCAGCTGTTGCCCTGGGGCCCCCAACAACTGACAGACAAAAGCCTTTATTTGCATACGGATTGCACTTGTCGGTGGGGAGGCACAAAGCTCCCAGCTGCCCTTTTCTAGTTTTTTTCTCTTCTTCACCTGCCCCCACCCCATACCCAGTGGCACCCCAGCATATGCTCCAAGGAAGGGCTGCTTCCTTCTCTTGTCCCGTCCTTCCATGGCTCCCATTAGATAAGCTCAGATGTGAGCAGGGCGGCCCCAATCCCCTCCTCCCACTTTACAAAGGAAAAAGGTGAGGTGAGGGGACCAAGAGGCCTTGGCCAGGGCCTTGCTACCCCTGCCTGACTCCTACACACCCCTTCAGAGGGGCAAGAAAACGGAGAAACTCCAAGGTCTGAGTCACTCCCAGGCTTCCGGGGGGATATCCATGCCAGGCTGCTAGAGCAGCAGGGAAAACACCCAGCAGTCTGTGATCCCACTGCCCTCCAGACGCTCTAGAAAGAGTCCTCCCACCACCACCCCCCTTTCAGCCCCTTCCTTCTTCCTCTGGCTGGGTCACAGGAACTCCTGGTCAGCCAGAGCAGGACACAGGCCTGCCGGCGGGACATCAGGTTCCAGCCCCCTGTCCAGATGGATGGCCCAGGACCATCCATCTCTTACTCTCCCAGGCCTGCTTCCACCCTGAATCTGTGACTCAGACCCTGCTGGGGCACATTTCCTAATCAGGGTGAAGGCCAGACAACCAGGCTGCCACCTTCCCTGGCTACCCCCTGGGGGCAGACTGCTGAGAAGGGCCCCTCCGCCCTCTCTGGCTCCACAGATGCTGATGTCCTGAGATGCCCATGGGAAAGTGACCCTCCCAGCCTCTGAAAATCACAGCTCTCTCTCTCTCTTTCCCCAGCCAGGTTCCCTCACCCCTGAGGCGGATCCTGGCACTCACTCCCTGCAGGTGAGTGCCCAGAGCATCTCTGAGCGCCACCCTTCCCCCAGCTCCAGCCCCAGCCTCTCCCAGGCTCTTCGCTCTGCTCCATGCTGCCCCCTGGAGAAAATACGCCTAGTGCTAGGCGACCAGCTCTTCCCCAGCTCCTTCCTCTCTCTCTCTACGCCCATCTGCTTCCCTCCCAGGGACCCAAAGCAAAGACTTGTCCCAGCCCCGAGGGTACCGGGGCGCGAGGCAGGGAAAACGGAGGCGGGGACTGAAGTTCCCCTCAACCTGCGCCTTCACGACCCAACTCTGAAGTCAACACCCTCTCCCCCGCAGCACCCAGCTCCTCTCCAATTGGCTCCTCCAACTCCGCCACCCTGGGCTCTGCTGTTTCAAGCCCTTGGGTCTCTTGGGCATCAGGCAGTTTCACCATCTTCCCTCCATTTTCTCCCCCAGACACCTCCTACAGAGCCTCGATGGTCACTGCCCACCCGCAGCCACATTCGAGGTGGGCCCCAACGCCACCCCTCCCCCACCCCATGTAAACACCCAGACTGCAGCTGGGCTACTGGGAGATCACAGCCAGCAGCAGTCTCCAAGGAGCCTGGCTTCTTCTGAGGCAAGGGGTGTGACAACCAGAGGGGCTGCGGCACCCCGTGCCATCTGGGACACCTGACGGCTGGCAGCAGGGACAGGAACGGCCGGGGCGGACATGGGAGCTGGGAGTAGAAAGTGCCCCAACCTCTGATAAAGTGCATGGGGGGGCAATTAGGGAACTTCAAAGATTGTGGGCACCAGAGGCTCCTGGGCCTCCAGCCAACTCTGATGCAATTATGAAGCCGGGCGGGCACTGCCCACGCAGCGCGGACACCCAAGACCGGACCCCGGGCCGGGAAAGGACCGGCAGCCCTCGGTTTGCGGCGACCCCAGGACCTGCGTAAGCGGGCTGAGCAGCAGGCCTGCGTCCCAGGTCCGGGGTGCCCCAGCCCCGGGCCTGGAGCTGGGAAGTCCGCGTTCTCCCCACACGGGGCTCGGCCGGCGGCGACGGACAGCAGCGGGGCGCCAAGCCCGGGAAGGCTGGGGACACCCTTGACGGAGAAGGGGGCTGCGAGGAGTTCTAAAACGCAGGAAGACGGTGGGGCCGGGGCGGGGGCCGGGGCGGGGGCCGGGCTTACCCAGCGTCAGCAGCAACAGCAGCAACAGCGGCGGCGGCGTGGGGCCAAGAGCGCCCATCGTGCGCAGCCGGCTCTGAGGAGGCTCGGGGGGTCGGCGCGGACTCTGAGGGGCCGGGAGCCCTGGGGGCGCATGCCCGGGTGGGGGGCAGAAGCGGAGCAGCGAGGCGTGGGTGCACGGAGCGGCGCCGAGCGGGAGCTGCCGGGACCCCTCCCTCCGCCCAGCCGCCTCCCGCCGTCCCTCCCGCCCGCGGCTCTGGAGACCGTTCCCGCCCCGCCCCCTCCAGCCTTGGCCACGCCCCCACGGGCTGCCAGACTCAGGCCTTGGCCACGCCCCACACAGGCACCGCCCTCTCCAGCCTTGGCCCTGCCCCCAGGCCCCGCCAGACTCCTACCTTGGCCACGCCCCACACAGGCCCCGCCAGATTCCTACCTTGGACACGTCCCCACAAGCCCCGCCCCTCTCCAGCCTTGGCCCTGCCCCCAGGCCCCGCCCCCCGCGGCTCCAGGCCCCGCCAGTCTCCAATCTTGGCTTCGCCTCAGGTCCCGCCCCACTTCAGAATTGGCCACGCCCCTCCCCAGATTTTGTCTTCTGCGGTTCCGGTCCCGCCCAGGCCCCGCCCCACCCCAGGTCCCGCTCCCGCAGTTCCGGCCCCGGCACTCTCCAGCCTCTCCCGTTTCCGCCCCAGGCTCCATCCCCGCCCCTGACCCCGCCTAAGATTCCGCCCCACCGAGATTCCCTATCTGCCCAGGCTCCAACTTTGGTGGCGCTTCAGATCCCGCTCTTCTCCAGGCCCCGCCCCGCCCCAGGCCCCGCCCCGCCCCAGGCCCCGCCTCCCGCAGGCTCCGGCTCCTCCTGACTCCACCCACCCTTGGACCCGCCCCGCCCCAGGCCCCGCCCCCCGCGGTTCCAGCCCTTCCACTCTCCAGCTTAGGCCAGGCCCCGCCCACCGCGCTCCCGGGCTCCTTCTGACTCCACCCCTTGGCCCCGCCCCACCGCCGTCACCCCTGAAGCGCTCCAGCCTTGCCCCGCCCCTTCGCGTTCCCCATCTTCCCCTCTGAGCGCTTCGCTCGCTGCACCTGCTAGCCTCTCCCGGAAAGTTGGGTAGAGAAGCCCTGCGGTAGTGGCCACGCGTTCCGAATCCACGCATTTAGAACTCTGGGCCACTAGGCCTCGAGGCAGACGCTGCAGGAGGTGGTGGCAGGACCCCGGAGTTCGGGGGCGTGAGGGGTTGGGCCGGAGGAGTCCCTGGAGACCAATGCCACTCCCTTCCCACCCCACCGCGCAGAGGGCGAAATGAAAGGAAATCGGGTTGGGGGATGCGTCATCCGGAAGCCATGGCTTGCTGGTCCGTGATCCTGGCCCAGTTGCTTAACCTCCTGCAACCTGTTTTCTACTTTGTAGACATAGCTGGAGCTGATGATATCAGTGTAACCAGCACAAATGAGGAAGTGCCGTGGGGATGCTATTTAGTTTTGTTATTATCTAAACAGTTTCCTAAGAGGGTTAAATTCAGACCTGGGGCTTTTGGCCAGCAAGGAGTAGACATGGCCTGGAGGTTGGGGGTGGGGAGCTGCAGCAAGGAGAAGGCCAGATGGGAGAGAAGGGACAGCCAGGTGGGCCACAGTGGCTGTCAGTGTGAGGTGACCCAGAGTTCACCAGGCATCCTTCTGCTCTCATCCGACCCTTCTTAGCTGCCAGTCCTCTCCCATCACGGAGAAGGAGAGCGAGGACCAGAGCCAGGACCTAGTTCACCCCTGGCTTCCTGCCTGCAAGGGGTTGTTACAGTACCTGATCTAGAGGCAGTGCTCATGAGTTTGCCCAGGCAGCCTCACCCAGCAGCCTGGAGGAACCAGAGTGTAGGACCCTGAAGGGAAACCTGCCGTCCAGCTGTCACCTCCCAAGATGAGCCCAGGAGCAGGCCAGCTGCGTGTATACGGGTATCCCAAGCCTGGGGCCTCCAGACCCATTTCATCCAAGGCCATCCATAGACCACACGAAAGAACTTTGAGTAGAAAGGTGTCCTGGGTTTCTTCAGGAGCTGAGTAGATTCCGTGCCTTCCTGAGGCCTGCTGGGTGAGAGGTGTTAGCAATCATCATCCTAATGACAGGTGCCATTTCTGAAATGCTTGCATAATAGGGTCTTTGCTATACCGTTTCCAGTCCTTCAAAAAAATTTTGCAAGATGGTGTCATGAAACAAAAGAGCAGCCTGAAGTTTACCCAAGGTTAAACCAACTTATAAAAAGTCAAGGTATGATGTCTGGGACCCAGGCCTGAATGTCCCCAAAGCCCTCAGTCCACCAACACCCCACGTGCTCTCCTCCCAAACCCCTCCTATCGAGGCATTCGTTCAACAACTGCTGGTTGCACTGGAGAGGGCCTGGTAAACCACACAGGTGTAGTTCCCTGTCCTTAGGAATCCGGGTCGTTTCTGCAGGTACGGACCACCAACAAGCACCAGCTACTCCCCAGGATTAGGTTATCTATCGGAGGACTCTTCAGGGAGCAGCCGCGAAGGAGTTGGGGAAACACGTAGGCATGTGTTGAGGACCGGCTTGGGGTCACCAGAGCGAACAGAGGCACGAGAGCGCAGCCGGTTCCAGAGGTGGCCGGCAGATGGGGCCCCTGGTCCAGGCCTGACGCCGCTTGGGCTGCTTATGTAACTGGGAAAACTGGGGGAGGCGCGTGCAGCCAGGGCGCGCATGGCGTCACACGAGGGGACTGGGCAGCCACGGTAAAGGGAGAGGTGCGTCCACAGAAAGACGGCGCGCACCCCGCCCCCAACAGGGCGTGCGCAAACACACGCGCGTGCACGTCGGCGAGCGTTTCTGTTTGCACCCATCATACTCACTAAAGCAAAACAAAATATTGCTGGTCCGTGCAGTTCCCAGGCCCGTGCGCTAGGGTGGGTGAGCCGAGGAGCGAAGCCGGGGCGCCGTTCCTTGAGCCTCCAGGCCAAGCAGCCACCTGAGGGAGGCGGTTATGCAGTAGGGACCAGAGAGACCCCGACCCCCCTCCTGGCCGCGCTCTGTTGCCCCCAAGCAACCACCAGCGTCCCAGCCAACCTCCACGCACTGCTGGGTGTGGCTTCACGTGCTCCCCGAGTTCATCTCACCGCGAGCTGGCGGACGCGCGCGAGGCATGGGGTCATTTCGCTCTGCCCTAAACAGTTTCTCACTTGGCTGATAAACTGCCAAGCGTGCTGCTGCGGTGACAACTAGGAAGACTTCAGAGCGGAGTGTGTTCAAAGACAGGGCCCTCAGGTAGTCCCACCTGTAGCAGGTGCCGGTGAGCGCCGCAGCCTCCATTGGTCCTCATCATAACTTCATGAGGGTGGTGCTGTTCTTCCCTGGGACAAGCCAAGCAGAAGAGGCTAGAGGATTGCCCAGGTTACTCAGCGATCTCAAGTTTTACCGGAGAACATCTAATCTGACGTTGAGCAGCTTTTTCACTTCAGTTCTCAACAGCATTTTATTTTATTTTATTCACCTTTCCATATAATTTTTAATTATTGTTTTAGGCTGGCACTGTGGCTTAGTGTGTAAAGCCGCTGCCTGCACTGCCTGCTTCCCATATGGATTTCAGTTCAAGTCCCAGCTTCCCCAACTTCCAGTCCGCCTCTTTGCTAATGTGTCTGGGAAAGTAAGTTCTTAGTTCCTGGCTTCACCCTGAGCATTTGTGGCCACTTGGGCAGTGAACCAACAGGTGGAAAATCAGTCAGTCTCTCCCTGCTTCTCCTTTATATGCTGACTTTCAAATATACAGATTTTTAAAAACGTAAATCAGGAAAAAATGTACTCTTTTAGTTTTAATTAGCATTAATAGTTCTCCATATTTGTGAGGTAGAGTTAATATTATAGTGCATGCATATAATAGTTATTAATTGGATCAGTCATTAACGCTTTCATTTATCATGCGTGGAACCTTTCATTCTTTTTATTTGTAAATAGGTTTTATATGTCATATGTTGTTATAAACTGTCATCACTTAGAAATTATTACTCCTGTTGAGTGAATTACCCACATTCCTCCTTTCTCTTTCTCCCTTTCTTAGGCCCTCGTAATCACTGTTCTGTAAGTCTCTTCCACTTTAAGACCAACTTTTTAGGTTTCTGTTGAAGGAGAGAGATGCCATTTTTGTCTCTCAGTGTCTGGCTTGTTTCATGCAACATAAAGTTCTCCGGTGAAACTTGTGCCTCTCAGCCTTGTTATGTTGCTGCTTCTTAGAGCCAACATTGCTAGGGGCAGTGAGACATGAACCAGGCACCCACAGTACACCCCAAACTGTAGTCACAGACACTGCTGTGGAGACCAGCCCATCCAATAAACGAGCACACACACACTTAGATGCTAAGTCACACGGCACTCAGCTCCTCTCCAAAATGTATACAGGCCCCAGCTTCGTGGGGAGGTCAGAATCACACACAAGTGTGTCCTGGGATGTATGCGTATGTTTACGAAGCCACAAGCCCTTTCTTTCCACTCTCCCAAACAGGATAAGTGTTTCTGCGGAGTCGCTGAGCCGCTGGCGCCCAGGCTGGGGCATAGAAGTGGAGCCAACACCCTCACCCCTACACTGACAATACTCACACACATCAAGACTTGCGCTCACAGAGCCCAAAGCCGGCTTACCCACCTCCCGTTACCCACACATACACCTATTCACACTGCACCTTCTCTCCATCCTTACCGTGGGCCCTGTGTGTGCATGCACTCGCTTGTATGCATGTCTACTCCCAGAACCCTCCTTTGCCCTGCCTGAGCCCACATTCCTGCCTGAACGGGGTGGGCACAGCTGTTCAAGAGGAGGGAAGCCACAGTACACTGGGGGCTTGGTCTGTCCCTGCCCTGACTCCCAAGAAAGCCCTTCCTTTCTGTACCCAGGATTGGTGCCAGCTCCCGCCCACTTTGGAATGCCACGCGTGGATCCTCGGAGCTGGAATCCCTGCCCCCTGGCCTCCCTCCCAAGTCACCCTTTGTTCTACAGTCCCTTAGGGTGGGCGCCTGAACTCCAACCCACACGCTCCCCATTCCTCCACTCCCTTCCCCAGGCACCCAGGTGGTACAAACACATGTCCCGAGGGTGGTGCTGCCAGGGGGGCGGCACCTCTCCCCCTCACCGCCATGTGATGTCACTGCTCTCCCACCTGAGTAGCCTGGAGCAAAGAGGGCAACAACTCAGGGCAGGAGGTGGCAGCTGGTGTGCT